ATTCCATTCAGTCAGTGTTCTCCTTCGTCGTCTTCTGTGCAGCGGCGACGTCGCGAGCCAGCGGACACTATTAGCCGGAGCTAAGACTCCCCCGTACCTGGGGGTGCGGCGTCGTGTGGTATCGGCTATCGATCCGAGTGTATTCATTATTATATTGCTGCTGCTGCTGCTGCTGCTGCCGCCACCACTACAAGCATCGTCTTCCACTTAATAGCAGGCCATCGGAGAGCCAAGCGATCCGGTGATCTACGCGTGCATGTTTGCCGTTCTCCTACATTAGCACGTACCGATCTGTCCAATAAAGACGAGAGCGGAGCTCGAAACAACTCGGCCGAAGAACTTCGATCAGCAAGAGACCGTGCAGCGCGGGTGCGTTTTCTCGCCTGAGGAACGCGCCGAGCCGAAACCAGAGAGGTTTCGTTTGAAAATCCTCCACTGAAGCACCCATTTCGAAGCGCGAAGGAGCCGTGCGTTTGAGCTTCGGGTTCCTATTACTCGTTCTATCCCCAGGGAGAATCGATCGGGAAACGAACGGGCAACAAAACGCTCCGGACTCAGCACCCGAATGAATTAGCACTTTACGGCACCGCGTCGCTCGCGCCACCAGGGCGATAGGAGTTGGTGATTTACGGAGATCGTGCAGGAGAACTCGAAAACGGAAATTAAAGGAAATGTCTCGGGTGGACGTCAACATGGGACGCGCAATTATCTCGAGTGTCCATTGTTTTCGGCGCATGCATGCATGAATGATTGCTGGCATATGAGCTGCGCGGGTGGGTGGGTGCTCGGTTGCTTCGTTGGTTATGGGATCGAGCCGGGGCCCACGACGACTGATGAGTGAGGTCTAAGGGCTACTCGTAAGCAGTTATTCCACATTGCTCGTACTCCTCCCGACTTCCTGGCGAAACTACCTAAGGGGGTAGAGGGGGGGCGACGCAAGGGGAGGGATGGCCGACGCGAAGGGGCTCCGTACCACGGGGGCGAGGGAGCCGGCTGCGGCAGTGTTCCTGGACTCGACCTCTTCGTCTTTCCCTTTATTCGTGTAGATTGATAACAGAATTCATTAAGAGTGGGCCCTGGGACTTCTACTCGCTTTGTCTACCTCTTCCACCCGAGCCGTACTGGATCGCTGCTCACTCGACGCTTCCTCAGCCTGAGCGTAAACTATTCACACATCGAGCTGGGCGGGGCTCAAATGTTAACGGCGACCGCCGCCGGAACTGCAGCATCCAGGGCACGGATAATCCGTCGCTTCATCCGTCTTTTCGTGCGTCTTTCTGTCTGTCTATCCGGCAAATCATCATTCGTCTATCTATCCACCCCTCCACCTATCCATCTGCCTCGAGGCTTATCCAGCCTCGGATTCGAACCCGGGGTCGACTAGAATTGTCTCGTTCGCTTCGCCTCCGGTCTCCGTCAGAACGAGTATGCCCGTTCGACGCTTCGTTTCATTCGCCTTGAATTATACTGAGGCGACGATCATCGTTAGGGTGAACGCCGATCGGCGACCCGCGCGACAACTGACGCCGTCGTTGTTGTTTCTTCCGCCGTCGCGTCGCAAAGGTTAGAACAATAAAGTTTTATTTCCACAAGACCCCAGTCGGATGCGTGAACAGTTCGCAAGGAGGTGACAGCGACGTGACGTAACCCATTCCGGAAGGTCAAGCCCGGTGAGTCCGGGGCGTTGATAGGTACGTTCGTTCGTAGGCCAGAAATCAGGTCTGTGTACGGTCGCTTCCGGAAAATGCTCGCTGCGAATCATTGATCATCCCTCTCCTTCCGTCTCGAGATTTTCTGATCATCGTCTGTAGCCGCTAGTTAACGATCGAAAAGAGCCCGTCGCTTCCGATTGATCAAGTGGAGTGGCTTTCACTCATAAACGTCGATCGGCGACGACGATGGAAAAGGCCCGTCAATGGTCTTTCGGAGCTGTTTCGAACACGACAGGAAGCTCACGCCAGAGGATGCATCTGAGTGAGTGAGGATTCGTTCCCTCATCCTGGCGAAACTCTCCAACGTCGAGCGTGAGTGGACACTGAGCAGACTCGGGATATTCACTATCGTTCGCCGCTTCATTCATCCTCCCACTTCCCGAGCGCATCTGTGCCAGCGGGATCGACGGCGCCGATAGTACTCGAGTGAAGTCCGATCTCCGACGACCCCGCGTTTTCCCTGCCCTCCACCAACTCCCTTTTACTCAAGAGAAACGAACGAACGAACGAGCAAACAAATACCCGGATCGGCATTGCGCTCTCCAATGCGCCGCGCGAGAGTTCGCCGGAGCAACAAGCTCCCCGCAAAGCAATACTCTGTCAGCCAGCGGAGGCGACTGAGTGGGAGAGTCTCTGCAATAGTCTCAAAACTGGGCAAGGCGTCTCCTGTCTTGTTAGCGCAAGATTGCTGTTGAGCTCCAATATTCGTCGCTCAGAGCCTGGAGACCAAAACATACCGCGGGATACCCGGTCGGAACCTCAGGGGTCGGGGCGATAGGGGAGTAGGGGGAGGGGAGATCCCCCATGGCGTAAAGGGCAGGCCTAGGGAGAAGGGTGTGGCTTGCTAGTCTAACGGTCAGGAGGCGAGCCTTGTAAATGCGAAGACGACGGCGATGAGCGCCAAAGGAGAAATACAGCAACAGGATGGAAGCGCGGTCGATATCCACTGAGCTGTTCGGTCAGAAGCACCGCAAAAGTGCAAGCGGACAAAGAACAGCGAAACCTCGAGGCAATTATTTCTGGTGTTCACCCCTGGCGTTCGGACCCCATCCGATGCCGCACAGGGAGAACGCCGAGATTGCTTTGTGAGATTCTAGCCTCCCCGATGCTTCGTCGGGGCGCTTGAGGACATCACTTCGAAAACACGTCCAGATCTCTCATCATGAGGACTCGACGCTCCGGACGGCAAACTCCCGGTGAGTGGGAATTTCAAACAAATTGCATCTGCATTCGAACTATTTTGCCCAGAAGTTTCGAGAGGACAATTGTCTCAACAGAAACGCAGCCGAACTTCGCTCGTACGAGTCGACCCTCAAACTCGATGAGAACTGTTGTGGTTTGCTTTCGGTCCCACCGCCGCCGTCTTTCGGCTCAGCTCAGAATTCTCTATTCTCATACAATTCAGCCAGCTGCCCCTGGTGGTGCGGCTTCATCTTCTCGTTCAGCGTTCTGCTCAGATTCCTAGGGTTCTAAGGAGAAAACGAATTCTTAAACAGACAGAACAGAAGCCGGCCGACAGTCGAAAAAACAGACGAGCACTTCTCCCGGCCGTCTGAATTCTATTGTTGATTTTTTTCTTCTGCCCGGCCCCCCTCATACTAAATAGTCGCTAGCTTTCTTCCCTTTTCCTTCCGCGCAGCAATCCAGCGCTGCAAAGCATGCCGTACACGGGGAGATAGAAAACGCTCTCCATTCGCGCGTTACGAAGCTAGCTTCGCGGTGGATTTCCATCTCAATATAGGCCCCACGGTCAGGAGTTCATTCAATAACTTGACTTTTCAACTATTTCTCCCATTTCCGCTGACAGCAAACGAGCGAGTAATCTGACTGGACGCGTCGAGCTTTCCCCGCTCGAATATCAATTATTGTCAATCAACGAGCCGAGGTCCGACTCCGTGCCACATTCAGGTACCGAGTTTCTCCCGGGACGCGTTCCCCACCGAATCTCTGCTTCGCGAACTGTCCTGTGAAGTCTCTAGCTTGCCGGGATGAGGAGAAGTTCAAGTCTGTGCGATTCGCGGGGGGCATTTCTCCCAGCCTGCGCTCCAATCATCAAGGATTACTGCGAGGAACGTGGGATGATTGCGAGGAACGTGGACGCGATGTCCGGCTCGATAGTGGATGACCTCGAGGTCTCCCAGAGACTTCCCTACGAAAAACAAAAATTTCTCTCGTCGACGGAGGAGTCAACAATAGCAATTACGAAGATCTCCACCCACAAAATCGAGGCATCGGAACCGGTGACAGCGGCACCGAGAAGAGATTCACCGCCGTTCTTTCCGGAATGACCCGTTGAATAAATTCCGAGACCCAAACTACAGAGTAACACTACTGCAAAGAATCCACTCGTCGAAGGGAAATCAAGGAACCCCGTGCCCGATTGTCGTCGTCATGTAGCCCGTCGTTGAATTTCGCATGAAGTTCCTCCATCGATTCTCTCGATCGCAGACTTGCCCGGCCAAGCAGCCATCGGCCGGCCGGAACGCGGCAAACGTCAAGCGAACCAGCGGCGGCAGAAGCCGAGAGGAGAGAAGAAGCAGGGGAAGAAAAAATGAAAAATCCATGATGACCACGATAGACGTATCGGCAACGTAACGTGCCCCTTCACAACGACGCGCCGAAGAAGAAACAAATCCGGTGGAAAGAGTAGCAAGAGTCACACGCACCGGCCGACGGACGGATGTACGGACCGAACGACGGATGGACCGACCGACCGACCAGCACCAGCCAACCAAGCGAACCGTCCGAAGCAAGCCAACAACCGGGCTGGCAGGCAGGCAGGCAGACAAGCGAACGAAGCAGTGAGCGAACAGGCGAGCGGGCGAAAGCAACATACAGCAGCAGCACCACCACCGTAGGCGAACCCTCTGTTCAATCCACAGGTTGTTGTTATGACGACTAATAAATACGGCGGAAAGGCTAATCTCGCAAGAATTGTGCAGATCGAGTCAACCTAATCGACTCACGATGAGCGTACACTCCGAGTTACCGAGCGACCAATCGATCAATGGAACACGATTCGCTAACGAGATAAAATCGGCGGCGAAGGTCCTCGCGGATCACCTTCGTCATTCACTCACTCAGAAGTTCTGAATTCCATCGGAACTTCACCGCTCTTCTGGCGAGTTCGCCAACGGTTTCAAGATATTTCTCTTCGCTCCCCATGAGCTCAAGGGTTTTTCTTTTCATTCGATCAATCGATAACAGACTCAACAAGTGTCTGCGCAGGTTTCCGATTCCGTGACCAGAGACCACGGTGGACGAAGATCGTTTCGGATGCGTACTCACCAGAGTCATGATTTTTTTTCTGTCGCGCTCGAAACGATGAGCTCTCGATTAGTCCCGATAGAAGCGGACAGAAGTCACAACAGTAGATGAAGTTGTACTAGTGTTGATAGGGGGGTAGAATGACAGCCGTGATGTAGTCCAAGTAGTGGTCGAAGGAAGCACTTGTTTGAACGTTTTCACAGAAAAGTTTTTTTTCCCAAATCGTCGAGCTGTAGCAGCAGCGACTACAACAACAACCGACGGTGACTGAAATAGCGGTGATCACGGATCGGACGTCGTTGAAGACGAGGACGTCAGGATTACGAAGGAATCGTTCACAGGATTCGGTTACCGACGGACGACTGCTTGTTGCTGCTCGTGTGGATGATGATAGACAGCGCGTCACATAACAATCCGAACGGGTGCCGATCGAAAGAACAGAAATCAGTCTTCACTGATGAATAGTAGTAAGACTGGACAGCAGCAGAACAGAGACGGCGGCGGCCAGTTTTAGCAGACAGACCGCGAGCTAGCGGCGGTGAACGGAGCAGAGGCCAGAGTGAAATGCCGCCCGCCTGCCCGCCTGCTCGCGATCCCAACAGCGACAGCGGCGGCGGCCGCCGGCAGGCAAGAGTCAGGCAAACAGCTCGGAGCCGTTCGCCCGCCGATCCCGCCGCTAAATAGCCCTTTCGCCAGTCAGCCCGCCCGCCCGCCACCCGAACGAAGCCGCCAGAGCACAGGACGATTCAGTCGTTTACCCTCACCCAGAGCGGAGCACCTCGGCCGCCGATCTGACGATGCGCGGCATGAGCGCCGACTTGAACAGAAGCCGCACTTCGACCCGAGTCGACTTGAAGGCTGACTAGCTGGCTGGCTGTGCGTCCGCCCGGCCGGCCTGTTGGTCGAATGACTTGCGGGTAAAACGCTGGCCCAACGGCGGGCAAACCGACCGCGGGGATGGTAAGCGCGCGGACGGGAAATTCGGCGGGTGGACGGACGAACGACAGGGATAAGACTCCGACGGGCGCCTTCGACAATGCGGCCGACAACTTGTCGCAGAACGGTACACTTGTTGCTTCTCGTTCGATCTCCGCTGCGGCGAACAGTCTCCCATCGCACCTCGTTGAATCACGAACCCAACCTCACAGTCGAGTTCGGCCGTATCCGATTGCCCGATCCGGAGACGAACCCCATCGATCGGGGATGTTCTCGGTGATTCGGCTGGGACTCAGAAGAGCCCGACGCGAGTTTCTGCTCGATTTCTTCAGTCTCAATAGAGCTACCGGATCGGCGATCGGAAGTTCACCGTATCGCGCGCCAGACCCCGCGCCGAGTCTTCTCGGTTACCGGAAGATTCAGGTTCGGACACCGAGCAACATCTCGCCCGATCGACCCTTCGTTCTACACGCCACCCACAAGAAATCTCAGTAATGTAAATCAAATCCGTTTTTGGGCTCGGCTCGAAGATAAACACAGGCTCGAAAGGAATCTGGTGATGCCTGTCGAGTTGGGTAGCTATCAAGCGATCTCATCGTTTTCTTTCGGCCGGTTTATACAAACCGTGGCCTAAACAGAGCGACTTATGCTCGCTCTGCATTTCGTATACATAAATCGAATTACTCGGCGCCCCTTCCATTGCGCAGATCGCTTCCCCCGCTCTGCTCGTCTCTCTTTCCGTCTTTCTCCTCGTTAGCTCGTCCCTCTGTCCGTCTGTCGACACTCTCTAACTACGAATCTCATAAAAAAATATCTCGCTGCTCAAACAAAGATCTGGACCCGAGCTCGACGCACTGCGAGCGCCCCCCGGCGCGGCGTGGGTCCCACCGGTCGGAAAGTCTCTCGAGTTCCCGATTCGCGCTTCCTGAGTGACGCGCGTCGACGGCGGAATTTCCGTGTTTTTTTTCGTCGCTCTATGTTCCCCTTGCAAACAGCAACTTTTCCTGTCATCTCAGCGCGAACTTTTCCGTTCCGGTAACAGCATCACGAAACGTTTACTTTCGTCTGCTCCTCGTACTCTCGTTCACGATTTTCCGAATTTCTCGACGTGTTTAATCCTGCGCTCGATCCTCTAGGAGTGATGACGAGGGATCTTGACTCGGGCATCGGAAGCGCCAGGAAGGAGCGTTTTTTCCTGCGATTTTTCCATATTCGACAGAGAAAGTAGCCGCGGGCCGCAGAGAACCCAAATGCATCAAAGTTTAGAAAACGGACTATCATATACCGATCGAGGAATATATTCGTCGACGAGCCATTTGCATATTCCTCGCTGATGACTCCGGAGCTGAGGCGACGACGCAGCACGAGGCGGCAACGGCGACGGACAAACTAGGTTCGGTGCTTCGTGCTTCTACTCAGAATCACTGATAGACCTACTCAGTCAAGGAAGAAGCAACGCGCCAGGACCCTGCAAGACTCCGTCCTCCAGTCGTTCAAGTTCATTCGCTCGACCGCGTTAACGACTCGAATTTGAATTCCGACTGATCGCATCCCGTCCCGATTGAGCGTCTAGTTTCCACTTCCCGCGAGTTCCTCCACACGCAGTCGAGACGAGTGTTTTTTTTCGCGGTGACCTCACTCGGAGGCAACAAACCGAGATTGCACCAGGGAATAGCGGAAGCTACGCCGGTGACGAATTCGAACCAGGAATCATTCCAGCATAATATTTCGGCTGATCATCGTTCCGGCCATCGGTGAAGGTACCGAGCGATTCGGAAGTTTCGAGGCAGACGCCCCGAGGACGCGGATCATATGACTCCGCGAACTTCATTTATCATGGCCCTAAACCTCGTGGCTTTGGTGGGACTTCATCATTTATTCACGGAACGCATGATCCAAGCTAACTGTCGTCGATCGTATTTGGGGCAGAGGGTACGACGATAACGGACGATGATGGACCAAGTTCACGACTGTCGCCGATAGGGAAAAAGGTCAATTTCGTCAGGGCGTGGAAACGCCAAAGAGAAGGACTCGAATCTTGGCCTCTCTGACGAGAGACTCTCTCTTTCTCTCGTGGAACCCTCTCAGGGCATCGCCTTGTTCGTTCGGGGGTCTTTCCGATGGAGAGGCATTTGCACACAGAGGGCCGCGCGGTGGGTAATCAGTTTGCCAAGAGCCAATCATCAGCCAAGAGCGAGACGAACAACCACAAAGCCACGAGCAGCAACAGCTAAACAAGCCTCGCTCCCGCTCTCTACGACGAAGTCATTTCGGCGTCGGTCTGCCCGCTCCAGAGCCCCCGCACTCTCTTGGACTCAATCTTCCGCTCTCAGTTTCCATCGTCCAATGCCCCCAATCGTGTCGAGGGCCGGGCGGGATATCGATCGATGGGTCGATCGAGACCCTGTTGCTGATTCGGTCTCCTGTTCGCTCACCACATCCCTCTGTAAATGACAGCGCGAGAAGACGCAGCGGCTTTGCGTAGTTTCCTCGCACAGCTTATGTTTCGGATTTCGAATGCAACAACAAGTAGATGAATGATCTGTACCGGTGCGGCTCGCACGAACGACTCCGTCACCTGTTGCGTCCACGCTCCGCTGGCTGGGTAGTGATTCGGTGTCAAAAACCGGATAATAAGCTCTATGTTCCGCGCCTAATCAGCGGAAACCTACGGACAGGCAAGAACAATATGAGTTGTTCGAAGTTTCTGAGTTGTTTAATCAGGAGGCGCTGTCGACTTCTTGCCGATTCTCCTGTCCACTTCGGAGACGGGGGTTCAGTTCCTCGGTCGAGTATTGGTAATGAGCGCGGTCGGAATCTGGATTCGTGGACAATCGAAAGAACAACGTCATTCGAAACAGCTACCAGGTAGCCAAACATGTCGAGCAGTTGGCGAAGCAGAGCAGCGACGGGAGACAACGAAACCCATTCATCTGCGGAGAAGCGAGTCGAGGTATCACGTCACTTAGACACATGAAGTCGCATGGGTCGCAACATTCAATCGTCTGAGAATGAACTTTGGCAGATATCGCGAATTCATTGCACTTGATCAACAGAGCTTGTGTCATAGCGACTCAAGTAAACAAACCTCAGCAGATCAGAGAAACGAGACTCATGTCGAGTCGTGCTCATCCATTATCGAATCGAAAAATCGTTGGATGGCCGGATTCATGCAACGAGAGGGAAGCTGCAGAGAATATAATCATCAGTCCATATTCCCCCGGGAGAGAGATTCCGCCGTACAAAAACGCTTCGGAGGTGAATGCTCATCCGGAGGCGCATCTTAAGCGTCACGCACGGCAAAACGTGCCAATCTCCATTTATTCTTTCCGGCTGCATAATTGCGGCTTATCTAATGTGTAGCCGCTGGATCATATTAATTTTCACCGGCAGTGAGTGTACCTGCGGAGTGCAGATGAAAGGCTTGGAGCTGCCCGCTCGACGACCGCACTCATCGGGAGAAAATACGGAGCAAACTGTCACCGGCAAATACCACCCCTGGAGATTTGGGAGCAAACTGGGTGGCTCCAACTTTTTATACGGTGCAGCAAAACAGTCATTACTCAGTGAGCTACCACAACGGCTACACTTAACCCGGCCTGCGCTCGGGTGATCTCCTTAGCCGGAGGTCCATGCCAGGTAGGGTTAGAGCTCGTTGGTTTTTTTTATATACCTACATATCCACAGGATGCACTCTCCCAGCCTGTAGAGGCTTTACGCGGACCGCCGAGTCGAGCGCGTATCTCCGAAACTTCGGAAAATTGCGCTCGATCTCGAGCATGGAGAATCGTCGGGAGTTGTTACAAAAGTTCCGTGATGCGCTGCTCGGTCATGAGACCATGAACCTCGAGATAATCCATTTCGGAGCTGAAAATCTCGCAGGAATTTTCTCGATGCTCATGACTCATGAGTCTTGCCAGAGCTCGGCCGTTCGTACTCGACGAAATGTACGAGAATAAATATTTGAAGACCCTGCCATTGACACACAGTAATAAAGCCGGAAGTAAAAGCCGAACGTTGGAGGCAATCAGAGCCCAGAGGAGTACACACAATCATGGGCCGGCTCGCCAGTTGGGAGACCGTCCGCTACGCTAACCGCTTCGTTTCCCCACTCATCACCCCACACCCTGCG